AAGTCATCATATAGCAATGCTTAGAAGCAGTGGCGATAAAAGTGGATGCTGAATGATGCAACAGTGAAAAAGTTATTAAAAGAAGTGGCATCCCCTACCATAACTTCTTTCCAAATGATCGCTATCTTGACCTAAGCTCCATCTACGGGAAACCTGGGAAACCTGTATAATGGATGAGTTCACGTACTGATAATTCGGATGAATTCTATTACTCCAAGCTGATGATGATAAAGATACGATGCGACGAATCGACAAATTGACAATTCAAACAAATCCTCACCATGGCTCCAGTGATGGGCGGATTCACGTTCTGGGGCGCCTCTACAACTCTTGAACTCGTCACTGATGTAGCAGAAACTCATTCAAGCGATACATCAAGACACAGACACATCATCACATCGCAAAGGTTTCGAATTGGCAGATTGACGACTTGGCAGCCGCGCGTAAATCGCGCCTGGGAGCTGCGTAAAACTTCGTGGTCCCTATGCAAACCACAGCCCTCACTCAAAATGTGCTCGAGGCTAGCAACAGAATGAAAATTCGCTCTTCGTATAAGTGTCAAAGATATGTTGTAAGCTGCTCCCTGTTCAACCAGAAAACGGAGTAGTCTTAGTTGAGAAACTACGGAAAAAGGATTACGCGACTCCCACATGTTGTAATATATGTTTTAAATGGATTTGAGCTCTTCTACAATAAAATTATTGATTTTGTATGTAATTGAACCATTCAGCTTGCAAAACCAAAAGTTGTTTTTGGATCTCAATATTATTTATGTACTTTTTCAAAATTTATTTAGGGGGTGGGATTCAAAGAGTAGTTTAGTCTCCGTTTCGCACGTGCCCTTAGACGGAGACTAAACGAAAGAGTAGTATCCTCTCCCTGTGCTCATCAGTAAGGGAGGAGAGGTATCAAAGAATCTGACTGACATTATTACAGTACTAGAGCGAAGTAGTCTACAAGCCGCGAAGGCAGATAAAATTCAGGACAGGTTTCACAAATTTCCCTCGAATCAGAGAAACGCATAACAGTTTGAGAACAATTCAGGAGTTGGTAAGCGAGATGATGACGCGATACATCACATCGGCCGATGCGTTCATGGTCGTCTATTCAGTTGGCAGCAGAAAATCCTACGAACATGCGCTTTACCTCTTCTCTCAAATAGCCAAACTGCGAGGAGTTAACTCGGTGAGCTCTCTGTTCAAAACGAGACTACGTAGATACGTTCACTATGCCAGACTTTCTTGGGCATATTTTTGGGTTCAGCTAATTTGTTGACATACTGACTACATCTCTTTTCGGTGATGGAGCTGGAAAGTGCACAAATTGCAAATTGCAGATCGCCCGATTATTGGTGGCTGCTAAATGTGACTCGGACTACAGAGAAGTGTCCCCTGAGGAAGGTAACAATTGTCAGCGTCAGCTCAGCTGCTCATTTGCCGAGGTCAGCGCCAGGATGAACATCAACATACTCGAGGTGACCTCATTTTGAAGACAAGCGTTCAAAAACAGAGTTGCATCATTAACAGCATGTTCCTAGGTCTTCGAAGAGATGGTATCACAACTCAATTACATCGAAACGATGGAATACGGTAGACGAGCAGATCAACAACTTTACCGCAACTCCAGCAACTCCCTTGTGCTGCTTCTTATGAACCAAAACAGCCGAGCAGCTGCTTCGGGAAACAAAAATCTAATTATTGCTGAAATGATCACGATTACAGGTCTCTAAAATGAACATAAAAATTTATCAACTTGAAAAGTTGCAGTACATTGAATTTACATGGTATGATTAAGTTTGTCGGCTAATTGAGCATGCAATTCACAGAAATCAATAGGAAAAGCAAAAATAAGTTGCAACAAATAAAGACAATATAGAGTTAAAAAATTAAGAAAGAATCGCTCTTAAAGACGCTTGTTTTAGAAATCGAGAAAGCATTGATCTTGGGAAGGAGACATCTTGCTTAATCTGCTGTACAGGAGACTTTTTGAAAACCAATGATTTTTTTTACCAAGGTGGGCCTGCATCGTTAGGCCTTAGCGCAGCGTCGTGACATCAGTCGCGTGGCGCGCGGCGACGACACATTCTGCGACAAGTGGTCTGAGACGCTCGCGAAACATGGGGACCGGTGGAAGCGCAGAGAGGCGTGACAACATGCTGGGTGAAGGCAGAAGAGAACGGAAAAGGTGTCGCTCGAATCAGCTAAGGCCCAAAAGCGCCGCATCCGTCATGCCGCAAATGTGAACGACGCCGCGCCGTGACTTAACGACACACACCCTAGCAAGGTGGGCAATGTTTGTGAAATTCTGGCATGAGTGATCGATGTCGTCATTTCTTGTTGAACACACCACAGGCATCAAGAATAAGCAGAATTATCACGGCAGTAACGAAGAGAGCAACGAGCACAGAAATTATCGTCCACTTCGCGTTCATCATACACATCTTGCGTTGTACTCGATGAGCGGTCAGCTTGAAGTTCGCCGACTGAAAGTTGAAAAACAATTGGTAACAAATGCTGGGACAAGGAAAGGATTCAAGTGCTTGGAAATTCAATGTCACATGGACGCCTGGAAAGGAAGAAAAGTGCCAGTTCCATCATTGTTGGGTGCTCGCAGTGGCTATCTTGCTGATACTGCAGTGTCCTTCAGGTCCAACAGAGCAATTTTTAACGGCTCTACTTTCCGGAACAGTCACCTTTTCCAGAGGCCAGCAGGGTCAACCGTGGCGTTCGGCCAATTTCAAAAACTTCGGCACTATTTACCCTTTACTGCCCCACTCCTCCAGAACTGAGCCGGATCTTTATCGAAATTCGTCCATGACTAATTATTTGGCTAGAAAGTTGTCTCTAGGGGTAATTTGACCCGTAGAACACGAATATCACATTTGTTTAGCGCGCAACGCTTTGAAAAAAAATCGGGCTTGATCCTTGAGGTTTGGGGCGGTAAAGGGTAAATAGTGCCAGAACTATTAACGCTCCCCTCCCCCTACAAGAGGGGGGTCTCGATATGACCCCTAGCATCACACGTGAGGGCGGAATATCATCCACCCCCATCACAGAAATCACGGCTTTCTATCCATAGGACTTGATTCTTATGATTCTGAAACTAATCGGCACACATACACTCCCTCCCACTTGCTCCTCCAAAATAATTGTCCAGCGGGGAGAGGGTAAATATCATGATATGCCTCAAGAAACGGCTAATATTCTGGTCCATTTCATTCGTATATTTTTTCTTGTCAAAATTTACCATAAAACCCTCGAGCGACCCCCACTCCCGCAACAATGCCTTCAACTTCCAAAAAATACAGTCCCTCTTTTCGATTTATTTGACCTTCATCAACCCCAGTTACGACTCTCTTCCCCATAAATCGCAAATACGACCCCCATCTGGGTCAGCCGGACGGGCGGTTGACAACTGGAAGCCAGGGCTTCACTGTGAGCAAGGAAAATCCCACGTTGACCAGCAGAGTGGCAAACCACGAAAGTTGCAACAAAAAAAAACCATGGATAGCAGCTGGAGCAAGAACAAAACAGGAGAACAGGACATTGCCACCGCTTTCTGGCATGTCAAGAATTTGGAACAGGATTCCACTGCTTTGTACAAAAAGTGGCTATAATAGAAGCTTTGTGGCTGCTTTTCAAGTAGTGTTCGGTTATATAGATTGCTGAAAACCTAGCTTCTCCCTGTTCACATGGGGCTACTAAATGGAAGAAAAGCATCGTACCGAAGCTTGAAGCTCGTCTGTACGTCTTTCAATGCTATCCAGTCGTTCTCCACGTTCCATGATCGAAGCTACATTGGAAGCCATAACCTAGAAAAGTGTATTGTAGTGGCAAAAGGGTTTGTAAAATGTTAAGCAGAGCTTGCACAGTCAATCCAACAGGGTGAAGAGTAACTTCAAAGCATTGGCATAAAAGTTGCTGAGAAATTGAAGACGAAGGCCGTCATGACTCACTGTTTTGACTTCATCTACTTGACGACGCATTTCCTGGATTTTCTCATCCTGTGAAGGCTTCTGCGAGTTGTCCGCCATCTATAATGAAGCTATAATATGAGGCAAAATTTCAACTTGAACCGATTTCAGTGCATCGAGCATGCGTGAATTCAAATCAAATTCGAGTCCACATAGCAATAGTTATTCGATTCCAGCTCTGGGTTTCTACTAAGAGGCTGGTCGATTGCCAATCGAGCCAAAAGAAGTTATTAGGATAGCCGCTTCTTATACATAAAACAGAACTCGAAGGTTTGTTTAAGAAATCGAATTGAGATGCAGATTAAGAGGAAGACTAGTGAGTGGAAATCAGTAAATCTCTTATGCATACAAGTTCGCTTTCTTAAGAAGAGTTATCGCACCCACGAAAACGAACTCAATGAGTAGAAAAGCAAATTTCAGCTTTTCCATATTCTAAGACGTGAAACTGGTTTTTGGGTCAAGTCAAAAGTGAACGCGTTATTTTGATTACGGACTGAACTTTTCTTCTTCTTA